GTTCTAGACATCAAGAACACAGCCTTATCTTATTATTTCCCATCACTCTAACCTCGTACTGCATTCATGTATACTAATCATGAAACCCCCATGATTAAAAACGTGTCCCCCCCCCGTATCCCGCAGAAATCTGACAATACCTCCTCTTAGAAAGCAACTCCCAAGAGTCCCGGATTTCTCCTCAACCTCATTCATGAAGTCGAGCTACGAGGCCAAGTCAAATGCTAGTATTTCCCTTCTAGCTTGTGGTTGCACACCCTTTCCGTGCCTTCCGTACGCATGTCAACAAGGTTCCTCTCCCACGTAACTCAATATGGAAGCGAACGAGCCTCAACTGTGGGGGCTATCAGTTGTATTCACACATGCAATGACTTTTCAACACGCCAGATGGCAAGAAATTATGAATGCTTATGCTAAGGAAAGGTACTGTCATCTCTGGGCTTTCTTGGTCTCTTCTGTAAGCCTTCTTCTGCATCATGCTGTCTGCACTCCATATCGCAGTTTTTGGACCACTGCTGTCATCCAGCACTACTTGATGGTTAGAATGGCTATGTAAGATCTATATGACAGGGGAAAGAAGTGCTAGGTACCGAATCTTTAGCATACGAAGCTTGATACGAGAAGTACCGCGCCGTTATTTATTGGAAGGAACGAATTTAATGTATATACCGTATGCTCCCATCACTCTGCTCGGTTATTGATCCACCCTCAGGAATGTTTTCGTAAGATTTCCTAAATTGATTAGGAAGGGTGAGTGGCTGGGATATATCGATTCAGCCCCCAATTTTCGGCACACGATACTTTTGAGGGTTGAATGGGCGAATTGACGGCGCAAATAAAGATCTGGCTAGATCTGTATTGTAATTTCCCATTTAGAATATGAGAAAAATGTATACACACACATCTATCTCCGTTTGATGTCGCGAAAGTTGCGCAGCTGTCGCTATTGTAATTTGATATTCGGTTAGACTCACGTTTTGTTCCTACCTCTTTCTCCCAGATGTGATTATGATAAATCTCCAGTGTAAGATCTCACAATATGATAACCCACCGGATGACTCCTCGGATAGCATCATATCTAACGTACATTTTGAATGATTATTTCTGGTGTATAATATAGCACGATCCTTGGGTTATATGATCTATGAATGGAAGAATGAAATTGATCGACAATCAGGAACTTGGATTCGCCAGATTTGATATCTATTCTTGCCCTTACTAATTTGCTCCAAAAGGTATCTAGTATCTACCAATAACTACATAATTATCCCTTGAACTCTATTAATAGAAAACAAACAGAGATTATTTCAATCAGACGAGGCTTGGCGTCACTTTCACTCAGGTTTCGATTCTCTAATTTGTCGCGGGCGCTAATTGATGACATCCGTAACCTATCAATCCTTTTTTCGCAATCCAAAACATTTCCCAGCTCTGATTTTCTTCCATCCTTCTGGCACCCACTAATTTTATTGGGATTTGCCCAGGCTTTGAACTGCCGATAAGCCCTAAAACTTTTTTAATCCCCCCCCAAAACGTGTCGCTTCAAGCATGATCTATATCACGAGGTAACGTTCCATCGTTGTGGAGACCTGGCTGCTCACTGCGGTGAGCTGTGTACTACGAGATAGTTTTGAATAAGATTCGGAGGAACCCATCGGTGAGCATTTTGATAGAGAGGATACTATATGATCTTGTTTCCAATGGAATTCCTGCCTTTGTACGTCGCGGAATGGCTGTCTAGGAACCTTGAATTCAGGGCTTGGAGGGACGAATTTGTCACAGTAGACTACTAATGATTAATAAATTAGCTGAAAAGCTACAGCGCGATGCCGTGATGCCCGTTATGATCTCCAAAGCTTGAATTTCGTCAAATTGTCCAAATCATTTGTCACTGTATCGCGCATTTCTCAAACTGAACACGACTGACTCGGTGGTTCTCGGTGGACAGGAGAAGGCAGTGCTAAGTTGATGACCTATTCATCACCTACTTGCTTATTCATGACGATGTTTACTCAGCCAGAGCCCCATACCAGCCAGCCTCTCCAACAATCACCATCATCATCTTATGTGTTCATTCGTCAAATTGTTGTCAAGTTTGTTCAATGAACAAAGCTTTCGAGTTGGTTTCTAGACGGAGAGAGTGCGGAAAGGACGAGAAACATTCGGCAACAGCCGTGTGTCGTTTGAGATTCAGGGGCGACGATGAGGGGAGGGGTGCGTTCACGAATATCAGGTTAGACAGATTACAATAAGCAACAAAAAGATCTAAATTTCCGGAACTCTCTTAGTCATTAAAAAAGCCAAGAATCGGCACATTCTATATGACTGTTGTTTCCATTTAGTGAATACTAGAATAACCTCGCGAGCTCGACAGAGAGACACGTAGGAGTTCCCCTTCCGAATAAATCTACAGTAACCTAGAAATCTATGCTTTACGCAACGTAAGTACAGCGAGGTTATCCAAAATGACTCAACACTCCCATCTAAAAATTATAGGCCTGTTCATTATTAGCGACGGTCATGAAATGACGCGAACTCGGGGTCGGGGAACTTCCCATACACACATCGCTTGTATGCACGGTAACTGCCAAACCATGTCAAGCAAGTAATCGGTCAAGTCTTTGGATACGAGAAACGAGCTAACATGAAACGGCCTTGTGGTAGACAAGATCTGCTAGGGTCTGGCTCTGTCAAGTATAACTTACTTTAATAAGATAATCTCGTGTATGTAAGTATATTATTCATTGAGATAGTGGGGATTTCTTCAAGGCCATGTTCTTAGGTCGGACAGATACGGCGATCCTCCAAGTATCAAAAATTATTCACTGTGATTTTAATATATTATCTGGTATATCCACCTTGCGATGAAGTGAGAATCCCGATCCGGGGAATCCTCAACCAAACTCCCATTGGCATGATCGTACGAATCCCTTGTGATTCCACAAAAGCACAGCGCCTGGAAGTGCTCGTACTCTTTTGGGAATCTTGACGAGTCACAGGTATGTATCCACATATCAAAGCCTTCAGAACTTCCTCCTTGGGAGTTCCGGTGAATGTTATGAGAGATGACGGGTCCCGTTAGAAGTAAGTTCCATCTCGTTTTGTTTTTGAATCGTCTCAACATAAGAAAACAGAGATAGCCTGATACCGAGAGACATGGTGGTAAGCTTACGACGTTTTGGTCAGGATATTATCGCCTGTTTGTCGTTTTTTCACCTTTTACTTGGGGCTTGGGAGAATTTGGGTCTGGTAACTGAGAAGTGAGTATTTTAACATTGGAGATCCCTTAGCTAGGAAATAGATTAGTTCCGCGCTTATCGCCTTGGCTTTCATTAGAAGAGCCGTTGCAAGTTCAGGTTCGGGCCAAGCAACACGTAAACAAGAAACATAGACAACAATGGTCTTTCATCGTGCGCATGTGCCACAGCTCTTACTTCTCTGAGTATTAGAAATTTTCCGAGAGAAAGTGGAACGCTCGAAATAATCATGCATGAATATTACACAAGCCACAAACTGTTTGGTCAAAAGAAAGACTATGAATTTCAACACTTGTACCCACCGCACATAAACTAACCTCTCACCCGCTCTCATTCGAACAATCGAACTGGGATATAAATAACCGACCTGTCAATGACCCCTGCAGATAGATTAGATCATAGGGCTGAGATACACCGGCGTGTTGGAGAACATAGAACCTTGTAGCCTTAAGGCGAACAAATACCAATTTCTATCGAGATTGATTGGAGAGCGGAGAGTGAGATTCGTACACACAACACAATACAATCCTGGAAGGAAACGTGTTGTGGACGATCGGTGGATGAGCAGATGAGATGTAAGGTACTTTCCGTGCATATTGTATTGCATTGTTACTTTCCGTCTCTTCTCACGATTATTCCTTTTAATTTGCAACCAAAATACATACTCATAGTAAATATGGAACTTAAACTCGATTAGAGTTTCGTTGACATTGAACAACAAGCTTCTTTGGCGCAGTGAATCCGCTTTCTTTACAAAATACTACCGTTATAAGAATTTCTCTAAATAGACGCGCCCAAATAATCACAGTTCCTCCAAGTCCCAAAGAAAGGGCATTCAGGGATCTCAGGGATGGGAATGGATTGTGATGTGATGGCCATGACCATGACCCTTGCCCCGCCAAAAGTACATGTAAGATTTAGCAATAAAACTCCACTCATAGACCAAAAAATAGAATTCAGGACATGTAATCACAACTGCATTCTTCCATGTACAGTAACTGCGAAGCCAAAGCGTACAAAACTCGGTTCACGAAGGAGGCTGAGAACTTTGCGAAGTACCCGACCCAACCTTATGGACTATCTCACAACTGGGTATCTGACAATGCAGCAGATGTGTACTTGATCTTAGTTTTTCGCGACTACTAAACTAAGTGCGAAACCAAATGAGGATTATGGATGGGCAGACTAAGGAACTTTAAGACGCTATGAGTGGATTTGTCAGGATTTGGTAGGTTATTTGTCTGGAGTTAATGTAGGTTCATTACTCAATTCCTTATTGCAGTATTTTTCTTACACTCTTACCTACCTAGGTATTCACTGTCTTGAAATACATATTTTGTTTTGTTAGCGTAGATTTCATATGGATTTGCATGGGTCTCGTGGGCTCCTCGAACTCCCAGAGTTGCTAACTGGGGCCAGAAGAGGATGAGGTGAGGCTTTGTCGTCATGATGAGTTGAGAATGCGATACTGTTATAACAACTTGAGAACGCGGACGAGGAAGAGGGAAAGTATATAGAGTGGCATCGTTTCCTGTGTTGAGGTTTTTATTTTCATCATCATCAACAGCCTTCACTACAATACAAGACAAAGTTTCACATTACATCAAACAAACAGTCTCTTACCTAAACTTACTGTCGAACGCACTTCAATATCATCTACTTGACAAATCTCTCCGATATCAATTTCGAACATTTGTACCAATACACTCTACTATCACATCAAATTGTAACTCATTCTTAAAAATGGCTGCACAAACTTCTACCTCAACCACCTACTCCACATCCACCTCCTCTACTCCCCTCAACTTCGGACGAGGAGGTTACAATGGACCCAATAAGAACGACGAAGATGAAGACAGCTTCCGTCCTACCATCTCTTCTCTCCGTCGTGGAGATGATGATGAGGAAGAAGATGGACGAGGTGGATACAACTAGATGCTACCTTCTCTCGTTTCTTTATCGTGATCGGATAATCCGATTAACATTTATTCGGTTAAACCCCTTCATCGCATCATATCCATATCATTTTCGGCGGTTTGATTTCGAGCGATTCAGCGATCCATCTTATCTGCATAGCACAGACGGCATATACAACCATAGACTTCTAGATTGGCAACACAGCACATTAAAATCTAGTCTCACGACTATATCATAGCACTTTCCGGAGTTTTCAGTTTGCATATATTTCTTCCTTTACACGGCATTTGCATCTCCACCAACTCTTATACTTTCGATTCATTTCAAGATCAGACCAAGAAGTTTTCATCCTCACAGGTTTTCCTTTGCTTTCCCTACTCTTCTCTTCTTTCACAACGCAACGCATAGATTTATCAGCATAGCAGCATATACACGGAGTTATCATTTTATCTGCTTTTCTTCTTCTTCTTCTTCTTCTTCTTTTCAATTTTTTTTCAAGCATATTCCGGAATTTTTCATGACGCATCTTCATTACCTTAGATTCAACATGGATGTTGGGGCTGCAATTCAGATTGGCGAGTTTGGTTGCATTGCAGGCCGCATGCACATCGGTGTGTGGTGAAAAGAAGTTGGTAACCATTTGGAGGAGTCATAATCCGGGGGCGATATTAAAGTTTAAAGATTGGGATTGGAGGGATTGAAGGAACGTCGGCTGAGAGATGAATCATGATGATGCATTTGATGGAGTTTTCTAATCTTTTTGGCATTTCTCGGGTGTTACAGTGCATTGCATTACATAGAGCTTGTTTTCTTCTATCACTCTTTTGGGTCACACTTCTTCTTGTATTATTAATACATAAACATTCATACTTAGCAAAGATATATGAAATCTATATTTTCATCTTATTTCTATTGTCTAATTTGTGAACATGCGTCTTGATTCCCATCTCGCGTCTACTTGCCAACACAAAATCTGGGGGGCCAAAGAATTAGCCCACTGTACGTACAAGATACGAGAGAAAAATCCGTATGACTTACTTTTCAAAAACCACACCTAGAACTTCTTCAACATCGCCAGCCTCACCCCTACCTGTAATTCTTGACAAGCAATTGGCTGCGGATCTAAGATGCTCAGCCGCCAAAACTATATCCGCTTCCTGTTCATGATCGACATGCTCTTGTGCTTCATTCACAAAGTCTAATAGATGGGCTGAGCAGGCTGTGAGAAGCTGGCGCTGACGTTCAGTAACACCGAGCAAATCCTCAAGTTCAGTTGGAAGAGATGTCATAGTGCCGAAAAGAGATATCATTTCGTCGACGAAATGACCAATACTTCCTTTACCCGTTAGTGCCTGAGCATTTTTACATGAAATTGACATCAACGGAACGGCAGATTGATCAAATCTGCCTTTCTGAGACTTTTTGAAGTCATTTATAAGTTCTGACAGTATTCCAGGGGTCACTGAATCAGATTTATTAATAACGACCATAGATTTCGAGGCTCGAGCCGCTATATCGAATGTTTCAGGATCGTAGCGAATTTCCCACCCGTTCTGGTTATCTGACCACTCTATACTGGCGAGGGCAATAATAAGATCTGACTCATTCGCCTTTGCTTTTGCTCTTCGAATGCCCTCTTGCTCTATATCCCCAATTATCGAGTCATTCTTGGCGCTTCCAATTTGTGAAGCTTGAGTTCTCAAACCGGCTGTATCTGCAAACGTGCACAGGTACCCACGAATATCTAAACCAACCTCGACAATGTCTCGAGTAGTCCCAGCTTCTTGACTAACAATAGAAGCTTCTCTACCAACAATTTGATTTAGTAAGGAGCTTTTGCCGGCATTGGGTGGTCCTAGTAGAGCAATCCTAATTCCCTTCTTGAGTAATTCACCCCGATGACTTGCTGACTCATGTGCGGCAATCGATTCCAACATAATCTTAACTTCAGCTGTGACATTTGACAAAAGCTCTGCTGGAGATTCATCGAAATGTTGGTCCTCGGAAAAATCAATCAATGCCTCCAATTCCCCCCGCGCATACAACAATTGTTCTCGCCATGCTTCATATGTACGACCAAGCTTCCCGGAATTTCCTCGCACAGCAGCACGCCTCTGTTGCTCTGTCTCTGCAGACAATGTATCACTCAATGCTTCCACTTGCGCCAAGTCTAGCCTATCATTCTGAAATGCACGACGTGTGAACTCTCCAGGTTCAGCATATCGGATCTTCGCAGGGGAAGCAGATTGTGGAATTGTGCCTAGAACTGCTTTGACTGTAGCTGGACCTCCATGCACATGCAACTCGAGGACATCTTCACCAGTAACGGTTTTCGGCGCAGGGAAATAAAGAACTAAAGCATCAGAGTCGAGAATGTTTGGAATCGAGTTCGCCGGTTCGTATAGGGTTCTAACAGCTGCATATCGTGGTATTGGAATCGATTTAGATGGGCACAAGCTTTTGTAAATCTACCATAGTCAATATCAAACACTCATCAAGTGAAAGGAAGGTACCGTACATCGAGGCATGCGGTGCCAGATATACGTATGATAGCTATGCCGGCTCTGCCAGACGCCGTGGAAAGCGCATATATTGTATCGTCTACAAACTCATTTCGACTTTCCGCCTTTGTATGCAGAAAGGTCTTCGAATTTCTAGATTGACCGGTGGATATTGAGGGAATGGCAGGTCGAGCTGATGAAGAATAAACTCTCCGGCTAGCAATTATATTGAGTCTGCGATAAATGACATTGTGCCGTAAGTGCCTGGACCTTGAAGGTACACTTCGAAGCATTGACAAGCATCAACTTTGAGTAATTCCTCGATTAGGATTTCAATTGATTAAAAAGGCCGAGACAATAAACATAGTGCCCATGGAATCCCACAAGCTCGCGAGGACTATCGTAAAGATTTGCACATTTGGTTTGTCTGTTCCGCCGGAAAATGCTACCCCGCTCCCGGTGAGCTAGTCTGTTTTCAAGTTCGATTTGGCTACAAATAAAACTGCAATGATGAGTCTCACTGGGATTTATTAGCTGGTACCTAAATATATTGCAGTAGAATCCTGAAACGAACACGAAAAACATCTTCTAAATATGATATACTATACAGAGCATCCAATTTCTCATAACTTTGTCTACTATCATTATACACCTTAATGCTAGCACTACGATTACACACTCACAGATCGTGAACCTATACGAAGGACTTCAACGGTGAGCTATTTTACAGTGAAACCCTCGACTTAAAGTCCCCCATGTTCATTAGATAAGAACTCTGCGGCAAACCTGACGAGGAGGCTCGTTTGTATCCCTACGCGCCATCAACAAACAATATGATAACCACCCCCTTATATAAGAATTCCGTATGGAAGGAAACACAATGCGTACCATCATTAAGAGAACCTCATTATCTTATATACCACCTCTCATTACTAGAAACTCATCATACATCTACAAACCGCTTGTGGGTCCACTCAACTCAATTCGTCTTATATTACTTAAGCCCTCTCTTTGCATAACATCGGCAATTCGTTGTTCGATGATTGAAAGTCGCTGGTCTTTCGGAATTCCAAAACGAGACTCTGAAAAATTCATAGCACTTTCCTACACATGGGGCGACACGCAGGATCAACGGACGATAGAAGTCGATGGGAAATCTTTGTCTATAACACGAAATTTAGAGACCGCTCTAAGACGTCTAAGACATCAGACAGAGACTGTTCGTCTTTGGACCGATGGTGTATGTATCAATCAATCTGACATTGAAGAGAGAAACAGGCATGTGACTCACATGCGGTCGATTTACTCTGCAGCCTGCAATACCGTTGTTTTCCTTGGTGAATCAAGTGAACGGTCAGGGAGTATCTTTCATGCGATAAGCGATTCGAAATATAAAGGGTTAGTAGACATGACAAAAGAGACTTTAACATTGCCAAATCTTACCCAATCTTGGGGAATGAGTCAAGACGAAATCAGAAATTTAGCATCTGAAGTTCTTTAGCGTCCATATTGGAGCCGGGTATGGATCTATCAAGAGATAATCGTATCCAATCGGATATGGATACAATGCGAAATAATAAAAGTTCCATGGGATGATTTTTACTACGCTATGATTGTAGTCGTGAGTACTAGCACAAGCTATTTTGGTGCAGGGTATGATAATTTGATCAAGAATCGTCTTGAAAGTTTCTATTGGGAACGACTTGAATATCAAAAGTCACTTGGAAATGACGGGAAATCACCACTACCACTGTGCGCTCCATCCCATATACCTGAAGATGGAAAAAGATTGAATCTCCTTGATCTTCTTGTGACCAAGAGAGGTTGTATGGCCTCAGACAGTCGAGACATGATCTATGCACTCTCTGGCATTGCTAAAAGACCGAAAGGTACACAGCCATTTGCGATAAGTTATGAAAAATCGCCTCGCCAAGTATATTCAGACGTTGTCAACTATCTCATTGAGACTGACAAGAATTATGACGTTTTGAGTCATGCAGAACAATATTCCAATCATGTCTACCATACTGTACCATCATGGATGCCATCATGGGCGCCAGACTGGACAACCCGTGCAAAATACAAACAAAAGATTGTTGACTGGGTTGAACCTCTTGATAAATCAAAAAGTGCCGTCTCGAATAGTGCATATCTCGAAGATCAAGGAGTCCTTGCTTGCGTGGGCTACAAAATAGGCTTGATAAACCTAATTACCGACTCCCCTCGCGATATTCAGCACAGTGACGAAGGCAGAGTTGGTCGAATACTGTGGAATGAGTGGAAAGATACAAAGCTTCCAAGTACTGTTTTGGAACTTTTCAATCGCTTACATCCCTTGATATACAGTCGAAGATATGCCGAAACGCTTGGAGGTACGTGTTGTTTGGTACCAGTAGGGACACAAACTGGTGATATTGTTTGTCAGTTCATCGGGAGTTCACTACCCTATATTCTCAGGCCAATTCCATCGACGAATATGAAGTCTGGAAAAGGATGGAGATCTTGGAAAACATTGCTCCATCTCTCTCGCTGGTGGAATAATCCGAGGGCCCCAAGACAAGAACTCCCTATCAAATACCTAGATGCCAAAATCTCAACCATTCTAGAAAGCAAAATATCAGGATACCGAACTCTCGAAATTGGACACTACAATTTTGTAGGAGAATGTTTCGTGGATGGATTGATGAGTAATGAAAATAGTCAAACTCATCAACGGCAACACCCTCAAGAGAAGACTGTTTTCGCAATGCATTGAAAAGAACAGATGAGATGATTCGCTCGTAACCTGGCTTCGAGTATAAATTCGATCTGTAATAGCTTTGGTTTCTGGAAACTGTGGTTCTATGCATTTGACCAACAAGAAACATAGGAATCATGTCTTGTATCACGAATTCGCCGTCTGCATGGATGGATGGATGGATGGATGGATGAGGTCTGTCCACTGGTGGTCCCTATTTCGTCCGTTGCATCTGCAAAGTTCTTTTGGTAAGATAACAATGTTTATAGCATCAACGCGAGAGATACTTCTCATACTTCCAGCGAAAGGGAATGGACAACATTATGGGCAATAATCAATTTGAAGCCTTCTTTCCTAGATTAAAGCTTCATCGATGGTCAGATTACTTGCTACCAGCCTGCAAAGCCAGAATTCTCATTCGGCTCGTTTTAACACCATCTATAGTCCAAATTATTAAAATAGCTGTGATCGTATGCCTTCTCACCTAGAAAATATATTGAATGTTTCCAATGAGAAAGAATATCGAAAATGTTGATTTTCATGTGAATGTGGCACAGGATCACGAGATGGTTAAAGTCGCCTGCCGCGCAAACACCAAATCAAACCATGATTCTAGGACGAGACAATCGCGTCATATTACTACTATCAAAGCCACAAACTAAAGTACGATACAACCTCAAGATATAATGTTTTTCATACCGTCGCTGTCAACTTAATACTTCGTGATACTTGAAGCTATTTAACTAAAATTCGGCTTGACTGCAACTTCAGTGAGACTCTCAAAATTCCCATTATCGTGGCAATGACGTCGTCTTCTGGCCCCGCAAGACCGGCATCGCCGAATAGCTTCTATGCTCTGAGCGACGACGAGGAGGGCGACTATAATACCGTTACATACACAGAATCGGGTAGAGGGGTCAAGTTACTGTTTTCCAAGAGCAAGGTAATTGTTTCCATCAGCTCGACGTTTCAAGCAAAGTGCGGGGTCGTTCAAGCAACTTGTTACTAACATCACAACCACAACTACAGGTTTATATTCATCCTACTCCATCCGCGAAAGATAACATACCCGGATACATAGCTCTACTGCAACAAAAGTTAACTCCAGGCCCGCGTCCTACATCTTCCTCCTCTAAAGATGCAAAATCTAAGACCTCCGCCTCCTTACTCCTGGCATGGCTTCCAGAATCATCTCTTGGGGATTCCTTGAATACCTATGTGAAGGTTGATCTTGCAGAAGACGATTCTCCACCTAAGCAATCATATCTCGTACCACCTCCTCCAACCACCACCACCCATTCTGGATCCGTCGGTCATTATGCCTTCGCGATACCCGTCTCGCAGATTTATAGCCTTCTCGTACGACCACCGAGCTTAGGATGGTGGTTTGGGAGTGTCATAATAAACTCTCGAGCAGGAGATTCCTTCCCTGCACTATTCTTTCATGACTCGGAATGTCAATCCACAATTTTACAAAAGAAGAAGAGGACGAGGGAATCATTCGATCCATTTGGCGCGAATGGAGAGATGTTTTGGGGTGGTGATGAGGTGTTAAGGTGGCTGAGACGATATGTTGAGATTGAAAGAAGTGGTGCAGAACCTAACATTTACTTGGTGGAGCCTTCGGCTGAAGACAAGGAAGCGTTTGGGGACAAACCGGTCACATCTGCGCCGGTGAGGAGACCATCAAGCAGTGGTGCCAGAGTTGGAAGTGCTGCCGGTACAGGTTCGAGTTCATATAGAAGTGCGCAGAGAGACGCTGGGATGGATCCAGTTACGAAGTTTGTAAAGGAAGCAGGGTGGAATCTGATGGAGAAATTTAGTAAGGTTACGACATTCACGAGAAGGACGGCCGATTCAATTGTTGAAAACCCAAAAGTACCGCCACAGGTTAGGAGGTTCATGAAAAATCCGGAAGTTCAAACAATACAAGAGGAGTTTGATAGTGCTAGGATATACTTAGCGCGATGGGCTATGGGTATCGCAGAGCAGAGTGAGAGGGATAAGAATCAAAGGATATGGACAGCCAGAGATGTTTTAGAAATGGAGGAGACAGATGTGGGCGATTTCGAGTTATTGGAAACAGAAATGGGTTCTTTGACTATGAGGGAACAGAGGAAGCCCGTAACATTTAGGGAATGGAACAAGTTTTTCGATCAACGGACTGGCAGATTATCTGTTACCGTAGATGAGGTTAAAGAAAGGATATTTCATGGTGGACTCGACCCAGAAGATGGAGTTAGAAAAGAAGCCTGGTTGTTTTTGCTTGGTGTTTATGAATGGGATTCTTCAGCAGATGAGAGAAAGGCAGTCATGGCAGCTTTACGAGATGAATATGTGAAATTGAAAGGTGCTTGGTGGGACCGTTTAATCGACTTGGGTGGTGAAGGAGAAGAAGGGGAGTGGTGGCGAGAACAGAAAAATCGAATAGGTAATAGAACTTAATATCCTATCTTTCTGAAGACTTGAAAAGGCTGACATATCCCATTTCTTGGGGTTCACACGATAGAGAAAGATGTTCATAGGACAGATCGTAACATCCCATTATACGCAGGAGAAGATACGCCACATCCAGACCCAAACTCACCATTTGCTGACGTGGGTACCAATGTTCATTTGGAGCAAATGAAAGATATGCTTCTAACCTACAACGAATTTAATCGCGACCTTGGTTATGTGCAAGGCATGTCCGACCTTCTCGCTCCAATATATGCTGTCATGCAAGACGATGCTATCGCTTTCTGGGGGTTTCAACATTTCATGGAGCGTATGGAACGTAATTTTCTCCGGGATCAATCAGGAATGCGTTCTCAGCTTCTCACTCTCGATCACCTTGTCCAACTTATGGATCCCAAGCTTTATCTCCACCTTCAAAGCGCAGATAGTACTAATTTCTTTTTCTTCTTCCGCATGTTACTCGTCTGGTATAAGCGTGAATTTGCATGGTTAGATGTTCTACATCTTTGGGAGGTATTATGGACGGATTACTTAAGTCAAGGCTTCCATCTTTTCATTGCTTTAGCAATTTTAGAGAAACATCGGGATGTGATCATGACACATCTGCAATATTTCGATGAAGTATTAAAATATGGTATGTTTTCATATTCACGGCATAAGATTCAAGGGTGCAAAATACTGACGAGACATAGTTAATGAATTATCCAACCAGATTGATTTGGAATCTACTCTTGTTCGTGCAGAAGCATTGTTCCGTCGCTTCCAGAGAACAGTCGAGGCTATTGATAAAAAGTCAAATTTCCCAAAGCCATCTCTTAGGCAACGTGCTACTCAAAGTATGTCACAAGTTGCTGAGCCATCTGGCTCTACCAGCGCATCAAGTGGTACAGATATGGGAACAGGTACGATCGAGGGTGTAAGAAAGGACAAAGGAAAGAAGCCAACCAATGGGGAATTGGAAGACATGCCTGAGAGACCAAAGGTTATTAGCAAGGAGCTGAGAGAATTGTTAAGTAGGAAGGTGATGATCTTGCCTAGAAAAGTGGTTAGGAGAGAAGGAGAGGGTTTGGCCAAGGTGCAGAAGCAATAGTGAATGTGTGGGAAAGGAATATGGAAATGGAAATATGGGTCAGGCGTCTAGGTCATGAACTGTATGCTCAATTAGTCCTTTGGGTTGCAATGTCTTGGTAGGCGGTGGATGGAAAGTATTTGAGGGCCATGCGGGTATTTCTATATTTTGGTCAAATGGAAATGGATTATCTACAACTTCTTAGTCATGCTACTGTTTTACATGCATAATTAATCATTAATAGTACCTGGCAGTGCTGCAATAACGGCGCAATGATTAGAATTCAAGTTTCAGTATGCATATAGATGTTCATAAACTATCGCATTCCAGTTTTCTGTTCTTGCTCCAAATCTCCATGGAAGCAAATGAGATCTCTAGCATCTCCGTATGTTAAATCGGCCATTTGCATAATCAAACATGTATTGACATATTTAATACTTCCCATTTACTCCTTGTTATTGCTATACTACCTTCACCTCTCTAATGTAGATGATGTTTTCGCGGGTAAGATTTCAAAGACTAAGGTCTTCTGTGCACCCTCCACCATTGTCCTTGTCCTCTTGGTGAGCAGGTTTCAAGGTTTCTGTTGAATTATACCCTTTCGTTGACACCCTGGCTCCAGTTGTCAGTACAATCTTCATTCTGTCCCCAGATTATGTTTCCCAGTTGATCATCTTAAGTGAAGGATTAAAGTTTTGGATACATACAAAAAGCTAAATAAATATCCCAATGTACTCATTTTGTCTTCAGTACCTCTGGATTCTTCTCTTATGATTGTTCCATTCCTATGCAAAACTGGCGCAGCGGAATGAGATGGTGGAGATGGCGATGATGAAAGTGAGTAGATATCTGGTGGTATTATTACCCAATCATTCACGTCTTCCTCTTCTAGTTGCTGGTGAGAATTAAAATCAGGAGAAGAACGAGAACTGTGGTAAGATTCTGAAGCAGAGATAGCTTGAATGAGAAGGGAAGGTGGCCGATCTCTGGTTCGAGGGACAGAAGTTTTAGAGAATTGACGGTGCGAGATAGGGTGGAACCATGGTTGGGGAGTAGATGGTTTCGTCGAGGGTGAGGACACGGAAGGGGAAATTGAAGGAGATGGCGGCGCTAGAGAATCAAAATCTGTCTGTAAGGAATCGAAGAAAAGTGCTTTGCAGAATGGTGGAATATCAGAGGGTTCTTCGCTTGACCAGCTGGATGATTTGAGCTGGCGGTTGATTGTGGACGTGCTGTCATAGCCACATTCATACGAGTTACGATTGGAATTCGAAGTAGTTGGAGGGGAAACGTGAATTGGAGCCGGTGGTGTAAGTGGAGTGCGGGGTGGTGGACGAGTAGGAGGGGGAGGATAAGGAGGGAGAGTATCCGAATCTGAGGTTGATTCTGGTTCGTCAGAAGGCGGGAGGAATACCCAAGTGGGGGGTCGCGGTCGATTAATTATCAAGGTGGCATCTGCGGTTGAGGGAAGTGTATACGGCATCCTGATGGTAATTTGAGGGGGTTTAAACGGTGAGGAATGAAGCTTTCTCGTATTGGATTGGCAACTCGATTTCGCTATCGTTGGAGAGCCGTCTGCACGAAACTTCGCATTGTACTGAGAATCGAGATAACAGTAAAATTTAGGAATCAAACCATCGAAATAAATTAGGATGAAATGAAGTTCACGATGACATGATGTGAGCTCTCATTAAAGCGAGCACGCTTCTACATCTTTCGAGTTCATTTTCTTTGTCCTGATTCGTGGATTTGATCGACTTCTTTGTTCAGAGACTATCCAATGATTTTTTTATGTGAATTTCGGAATTGCCAGGAAGATGTGCTGGTCGAAAACTCAATGTTTCCCTTTGTTTGATATTTGATGCTTGCGGGCAACTCAACAGAGTATGATATTGGAGGGGGGGGCGTGAATTGTTCGTAGACCCGAGTATGGACATTCGGAGAAAGAAATTGCCTCGAGGAATCTTGGAGAACTTGATGAATTTGGGATATCACATGATGAGTCTATATATGATTGACCGCATTTGCACAACATTTGTGGTAGTAGTCTACTATGTATCAATTGGTATGTGAGTATGGTTGAGGCGACATCGATGCAAACATCACAATTCCAATGGTGTGTGGGAGTGCGGCTTTTTGACATTCAAACTTGGCATAGAGAATGATTTTTCTGATACAATTGAATACCAATACATGGATGATTGATTCTAAGAAGAGTTTGTAACTTTCACGGGTGTTGATAGACGATATCCATAAAGAATATCGAAATGTGGTAGGTTTCCAGATTCAATCAAAGTACTCGTCAGCAAAGCAATTTGTACACATGAGTGTTTTCACTTGGTATCAACATATAAAGTGTAACGATCTAAACTCATCGTACTGGAATACCAAAATCTGAAAATTCTTACTTGCAATTGAAAGAACGCCACAGAAATCGTTCAAATCGAATCTTGAACTCCCAGACTCCAACGTCCAATCCCCAAACCTCCAATTCCAATATTGTCCCTGGCCCATATACTAGACTCATGAAACTTTGTTCTACGAACAACATGCATTCTGTGCTTTGAATATCAAGCGTGGACTCATAGAACGTCATTATTCTTCTCTGGACTGCGCAAAGGGCACCTGCAGAGCAGATTATTGAAAGATTCAAACAGATGATTTGCAGGTAAATCTACGGCTTATTATTGATTTGAACTTAGATTCAGCTGGATTTATACTGGATCCAAAAGAGCATCATGCTGCAGAGCAAGTAGTAGATCCTGCAGATATTCTGCAGAGCATATACGACCTTTAGTAGAGCACCTGTGGAGCAGATTGTTTGCAAATCACCTACAGGTGCGGAATTTTCGCTAGCCTATTCTCCTCTTAGAGCCAATCCTCAACCTTTGCTTGTCCGATACCTTTAGCTTTACAATCCAATAACGCTCCTCTTAAAAGCGCCTCAATCACATTCTTCATGGTCTCCGCATTGGTACTTGCAGGAGACTTGAATGGGTTCTCCTCATCTTCTTTTAACTGAGCCGCCGCATCAAGTTCCTCCTGAGTAGCAGTGTCTGAATTCATTTTCGGAGTAACACCTACAACACGATGTAGTTTATTATGATCCGGTTGTCTATCATAATTGGGACTTTCAAGAACGTCTAATGCATCCAAGATAGCCTCAGGACATGTACCTAGAGCAGCTAGCACATCGTAGACTATGACTTTGCAATACTTCACAATTTCTTCACTTTCTGGATCTGGAAGCAGCTCGGGGTTTATTTCGCGTTCTCTCGTGTCGAAATAAGTGGTTCTTCTCAGTAGGAACCATTGCTGATCGCGATCTTTCATGATCGGGGCGGGCTTCCCATTGATCATCCTACATGCTCCTTTGTAGTAAAGTATGTTCTGAGGTGCTTCTATATCTCTCAAAGCGATTCCCAAAGTTTGTCCAGTTTCGGCCATCTCTGAAAATATTGTAGGTCTTAATGGTGTACCATAGGCTGCGATCTTGCTATAAACCACTGAAGAGATTTCTTCTCGATCTAGAAATGAATGGAAATCTTGCGCTGATGGCCAATGAAAGTCATTGTTGGCAGCTCCTTGGTCAGCCTTGAGAGTACTGTGACTTGTCGTTTCTTTGCTGTCATCTGTGGATTGATCGAGTTTGTAGTTACCTTGTAGGACAACCTTGGCTATCACATGCTTCAAGGGGTGTGGCTGTGAGGAATCCTTTGGCCGCAATGATCTTTCGAACTCAGAAACGTCTCGTAGAGAAGATATAAGCAAGAACGTTAACTTATAATTGTCTCTCTCGGCGTTATTCTTGAGCTGCTGTAAAAGTTCAAGACCTCTAGGTTGCTTTGGATAAGGTTTTTTTCCCATGACGCTTGCAGGGAATTCATATAAATCTGGGGAAATGTTCTTTTCGGTGCCTCTGGTACCTTGTCCAACAGGTATATCCTCAAGACCGAGAAGATCAAGAGATTGACGTGCGAGATGTGCCCTTGCGTCTTCCGGTAGCAGGTTTGCAATAAAACCTTCGAGTTTTATTGCACCCAGACGATGAAGTTCCTTCAAAAGTATCATAGCCGCGAGATCATCATAATCTTTGCCGACATCTGTGATGACAACAACGTGCGGGATATAAAAGTTCTGTTTTCGCAAGGTACTGACAGCATCTATGATTTTTTGATAGACCGCCGTCTCTATTTCGTTGAGGCCATCCGGAATAGAGTTATGACTTTTTTGACCAGTCATATTGTGTTTCTGAAAAAAGTGTTCTAGCTTTAATTTAATCTGGCACAGAATATCAGAAGTGTCGTGGATGCATGAAGTGGAAGAATCCATTCCGAAAATGATGTGGGAGGAAACTATATATGTTTCAAAAATCCTGCGCAACAATGGTCATCGTATAACAAAGGTCAAAACTTAATCAAGTATGATCAATCAAAGAGGGGTGATTCATGTTGGAAAGCTGCAAATTTGTTTGAATGAATGAATGAATGAATGAATGAATGGAGTAATTCAAAGGCCTAGGTAACCTTATTCACGGGGCTATCTAGGTTGCTGCGGCACGAAGCCAACGGACAATGATTCCAAAGACAAGTATGTACCTGGGTGGTTAGATGAGGTAGATGTTCGGGCAGCACACAATAGATCCTTTTGCAGGCCAGTTTTGCGAAAGTCTTATTCTTCTCTGATGACTGTGAACTCTGATGATTGTGAATACGGGTAATCTCGAAAGATTAAGAGTCAAATGGATGTAATGACTAAATAATGACAGGGTAACCTAAGGCTGAGAATCTGGCGTTCTTCTAGGCGTTCTCGGTGCTCCACTCAATGATCCATGGATTCTAATAAAGTTCTTCGTAGAGTAATAAGGCTCTCGAAAGACTCTCCTTATTCATGGGTTTAGCGAAAGGCGAGATGGCTGTCCCATGCCCCATGCTTAGCTCAGATGCCGATAAGATTACCGCCGACGCCGACTTACCGATCCTGTAGCTGTAGCCTCGCGTGCCTCGCCTCGCCTAGAGTACTGATCATCGTTTATCGTTCATCGCAAAGCCATTCCAAACATTTCAATCACCGCAGTCAATCACCTGCATTATGGATCTCTTATCTACTATACGAAAATCTGGTTCACGAGGAGGTGTGAACTTTAGTTGGGATGAGGTTCAAAGTTCCCAAGTAAGTAAACCCGCCACAAACTAAGCAATCGAGTGGATGCCGTTTACTCACATAATATTCTCGCAGCACCGAGAAAATTACCTTGGTCATTCTCTTATGGCCCCAGTTGGTCGATGGCAAAAGGGAAAAGACTTGAATTGGTACGCAAAGGGAGACGCTGAAACGACTGGCAATGAGACTGCAGAAGAGAAACAGGCACGTGAAAGAAAAGAAGAGATTCGGAAAATTAAAGAGGCTGAGGAAGATGCGATAGCAAGAGCTCTAGGATTGCCGGTCGCACAGCGTGGTGAAGCCACAGGCGCAAATAACGTGGGAGTTGGAGAATTAAAAAGAGTTATTAAAGAATCGGAAGAAGGAACCGATGATGCTGAAGGAATGGGAAATGGTACCGGATTTGGCGATTATGTTGGTAATATTGATGGGCAAGAGATGCTGCAGATAAAACCCGAGCCATCAGAGCAGAGAGGCGGATCATTGAGGAATGACCGCAATAATGAAAGAGTCAACAAATCCGGAGGGGATAGAGAAGGACGATCAAAGGAAAAAGACAGACGAAGACATCGAAGTCGAAGTAGGGATCATGAAAGAGAACGAAATCACAGGAAGCATCGACATAGATCAAGAAGTGGTGAACGAGAACATCATAGGCGTCGACATGATGCTAGTCCGCGAAGGAGGGCAAGAAGTCGTAGTCCAGCAGCTCGACCCCGCAGATATCGGAGCAGAAGTCCCGATCGACAACATCGATCAAGGAGAGAAGAGGGTTCTAGACACAACAATCCACGAGAGCGCGTGCCTCGAAGAAGTCGCTCGCCAGACATACGAGGCAGAGAAGATAGGATGCCAGAGAAAAGACGTTAATTTCATTATATTTGGTCTCCCACATAGGGAGGGAGTCATCGAAATGGCGTTGGTAGTACAACAGAAGTATACCCATTTGTAGTATTCAGTCTTCTCAAATACATATTCAGAATGCAAAGTAATGATTCAAAATTGCTCACATACTTGACGATTTCTCTACTTGATTTTCAACATTATCCGTTGACTTATAATCTACGTAGAGACTATCAATATTGTCAGGGTATGCCTTTCATCAAGCATAGCCTACCACCTCCTGCAGCCTTACTTCGTAGCCTTAGCCTGTGGAACTAGATGCGTTTCTGCAGGTAAGCTTATCCATTCTCGCCATGAAACCCACCGCGCTTTTGATAGAATATGGGATTATTCCATTTCTCCTTGAACAATACCCAAATAATTTGATATTTTGCATTTCAAGCGTCATCTTTCGGTTATTCATTCATTAACTATTGTACTATTATTTAATCCTTAAATTCATTAGATATTACCTGTTCTGGAACCCGCTAGAGTAAGATAGTGTGTCTCAGCCTTCCTTCTAGCCTTTCCTACGCTGGTAGCAAACAACCGCCCATTCACATCATAACTCCTTACTATAGGCACTACTTCTCGTAGGCAGACATCATACATTCAGCAAGCTGTCATTCATACTAAAGTATGGTTCACAACACATAAACTTCTAATTTGTTTCATTGTCTGATATATCTCCCCGATTTTATCGAGCTGCCGAGGAGAGGCAAATCGATACCCTGCGAGATCAACAACACTCATTATCGCCATGGACTTTACAAAATTACGAGCAGCTGCGCTGAACGATGGTGACGATGAAGAGGCCGTTACGGTTAATACAAGAGCTTTGATAGATAAAGTCCTAGCTAGATATTCTGGGGAATGGACAACTCTACGAGAACTAATCCAGAATGCTGCAGATGCGCAGGCAACGACTGTTACGATCAAGTTCGAGACGTTACCTTCTTTTCAAGTCCCAACCCCAAATACCACAAATCAATCAGAGATCTTGAAACATGTCCTTCTTAATCATACGCTGAAGAGATTATTAGCCACCAACAACGGGCAGGCATTCGGAGTCAATGATTGGTCGAGGTTGAAGAGAATAGCTGAGGGGAATCCAGATGAAACGAAGATTGGAGCTTTCGGTGTAGGCTTCTATAGTGTTTTCGCTGATTGCGAAGACCCTTTTGTCAGTTCGGGAGATCAGGCTATGGCATTTTACTGGAAAGGCAACTCCTTATTTACCAAGAAGATACAATTACCTCCTAGTGAAGCGAATCCCAATACAAGCTTCGTCCTCGACTACCGGAACAACACGACGCCAATGCCTAATTTGCTTTCTATTGCCCAATTCCTGGCAACAAGTCTGACATTCGTGGCTTTACAAAATATCGAATTATATGTCGATGATTTTAAGATTATATCTTTGAAGAAGAAATCTGCACCGAGTTATGATGTTCCTATCGCGAGGGATGTTACGACAAGGTCTAAAGAAGGTCTCATGAAGGTTCAAAAGCTTGAGAGAGAAAGCGTACAAATGGATGCTACCTTTATGAATGTTGTGGGTTGGAAACCTGCCAAACCATCCACATCTAAACCCTCTTATGATAATAGCTACGGGAGTTCCAACGATGTACCCTCTCTCCGTTCCTTCTTTTCTAGACTTACTTCGAATAATAGCCAGGCTCAACAAAAAGCAAAAGCTTTGCAAGAGGAAAAGGCCATGCAAGAAGTGCTACTTGAAGATCTGACAGCTCTGACAACAACCAATGTATTTCTACGTGTGACTACTGCAATGATCAAGACTTATATTCAACCAAGTTTCGCAGCGGAGCTGGAACGAGCCACTAAGAAACCACCTCCCAAGACCACCAAACTGGCCATTCTAACATCTTCTTATGATGAGACTGAAGCATCTGCACATGATAATCCAGTCTCAAAAAACGTTGATGTTTTTGCATCTGTTCTTCCGGGAAAGAAACCTGGTGGTCGGGTTTTCATCGGTTTCCCGACTCATCAAACAACTGGTGCAGGTATGCATCTATCTGCGCCATCTGTCATTCCGACCGTAGAGCGTGAATCTATTGATTTGAATGCTCGATATGTTCGAACTTGGAATCTGGAAATGCTTCGAGTTGCCGGTATTATGGCAAGATTAGCATTTGCTAATGAAATGTCTGATCTCGCCGACAAGATCAAACGTGCAACTCAATCAAACGGAAACGGAAATAAGGTAACGAAGCGCGAGATTGAGCAGTTTCTGCCAGAAGCTGCACACATATTGAAAACTTTTGCCTTTGGAGATTCTACCCCAAGTTCTCAAGTTTCCCAAGTTATCGAAGAAGCATTTTGGACAGCATATCAGAAGGCATCGATCGAAGTTTATAGTACCAGGAGTGTTCTTCCAACGACGAAGGTTCGGTTGGCCACAGAAGATTTGAGTGGATTTGTTGAGGGGATCCCTGTCGTTCCAGATGCACTTGTCGACTCCGAATTTGTGAAGAAGCTTAAAGACTTTGAGCTCATCACTGAAATCACAATCGGCGACGTTAAGCAAGAGCTTGAGGCAAAGGCACTTACCAAGGAACAACTCATTCAATTTGTCAAGTGGGCAGGCCATAAGGCTATCCTTGGAGAGATCGATGCCCATACTATCCACTCTTTATTCGATGTTGCTGTTGCCACTCTAGGCGATGATAAAGACCAGGGTGGAATTATTGCGCTTGGCAGTGTCACGAGTTACCTGAATGTCAATAGAATACCACCTGACGCTCCGGTCCCTCCGACCACAATCCCTTTTGAGTTCACTCGAGAATGTCAACCGACCGAACTCCAGGCCCTGGGATGGGAGCCCCTCGAGGTTGTGCCGTGGTTGCGTTATTTAATAGAATCGAGAGATAGAAATGGTCCGGAACAAAACATCACAACGGCACCACAATTCGCTGCCAAAGTTCTTCACATCATCTCAAAGTCGTGGGAAGGAATGGGTCCCAATTCCAAAGCGACCGTCACATCACTACTGTCAACTTTGACAGTGATTCCAACCAAGTGTGGCATGAGAAAACCCGGCGAGGCTTTTTTCGAAAGTGTAAAGCTTTTTGAAGATTTGCCCACTCTAACAAATTGTCCGGGTGTCAAAGAGAAGTTTCTTGCAGCTATTGGAGTACGTAAAACAGTAGATCTGGAGACAATTTTCAGTCGAC